ATACACAGAAATCAAATTGACTACATCTGCAGAAAAAAATGATGGAAAAGCTCCATATCATCAGTGAAAAGAAGGCCAGGGGCAGACTGTGGAACAGACCATCAATCACTCATGTGTAAATTCAAACTGAAGCTGAAGAAAATGAAAACAAGTCCACAAAAGCCAAAATATGACCAAAATATATCCCACCTGAATTTAGAGATCATCTGAAGAAGAGATTTGATACATTAAACACTGAAGACCAGAAGTGTTGTGGGATGACATCAAGAACATCATACATGAAGAAAACAAAAAGTCATTAAGAAAACAAGAAAGAAGGAAAAGGTCAAAATGGATGTCAGAAGAGACAACTGAAACTTGCTCTCCAGCATAGAGAAGCTAAAGCAAACAGAAGAAATGAGGAGGTCCAAGAACTGAACAGAAAATTTCAAAGATCAGCTCGAGAAGATAAAGCCAAATATTACAACAAAATGTGCAACGAGCTGGAGTCAGAAAACCAAAAACGCTCAGCATTTCTCAAGCCAGGGGAACTGAAGAAAAAATTTCAAGCCTCGACTTTCGTTATTGAAAGATTCACTGGGCAAATTATTGAATAATGCAGAATGCATCAAGAGAAGATGGAAGGAATACACAGAGTCACTGTACCAAAAGGAAATGGTTAATGTTCAACCATTTCAATAGGTAGCATAAGATCAAGAGCTAATGGTACTGAAGGAGGAAGTCCAAGGTTCATTGAAGGAATTGGCAAAAAATAAGGCACCAGGAAGTGATGGAATAAAAATTGAAATCTGTTAAGAAAGTGAGGCGGCACAGGAGGCACTCACTCATCTCTGCCAAGTAATTTGAAAGACAACTATCTGACTGATTGGAAGAGATCCATATTTGTGCCCATTCCAAAGAGAGGTGACCCAATGGAATGCGGAAATCATCGGACACTCTCTTTGATATCCCATGCGAGTAAAGTGTTATTAAAGGTAATACAGAAACGGCTGCAAGCATACATTACAGAGAACTTCCAGAGGTTCAAGCCAGATTCAGAAGAGGTCGTGGAATGAGGGATATCATTGCTGATAGCCGATGAATCTTGGCTGAAAGAAGAGAATACCAGAAAGATGTTTACCTGTGCTTTATTGACTATGCAAAGACTTTCAATTGTGTGGAACATGACAAGCTATGGACAACATTGTGAAGTATGAGTATTCCGAAACACTTAATTGTGCTCATGAGGAATCTGTACATGGACCAAGAGGCAGTTGTTCAAACAGAACATGGGAACACTGAATGTTTTAAAATGAAGAAAGTTGTGTGACAGGGTTGTATTCTTTTACCATACTTATTCAACCTGTATGCTGTGCAAATAATCCAAAATGCTTGGTTCTATGAGGAAAAACATGGCATCAGGATTGGGGGAGGGCTCACTAACAACCTGTGATATGCAGATGATACAACCTTGCTTGCT